TTAAGTTGCCAACAAAACCTAAAATATTTACTATCTGGCCCTTTACAGAAAAAGTTTGCTGACTCCTACAATAAAAGTAAAGCAGTACACATTGTGTAAGAGAGGGAAGGGAAAGATGACGGGCATAGAGTTATATGCTCTGTTTTGTTTTAACTACTAACACTTAGAAAGGGGAAGGTCTCAGACAGACATCCTATTTCATTTTATAATTAGGCTAAATATGCAATAGGAATGCTCTGGACATCTTCCTAAGGTCTAGAAAAAAAAAATCAAGATCACTTTTTCGAGCACCTATAGAACAATTCTTCAAAGAACTTAATATCACGAATTAGGGTTATATACAAATATTAAACATCTCTGTAGCATTTTGCAGTTTACAGAACACCTATAAGCACGTTACCTCAATATGAGTCTCAACAATATTTCTATGAAGCAGCTGTAGGTCAGATATCATTATCAGTTTTGTTTTGTGTTTTAGCAGCTAGCTGGTAGAGGGATCTGAACTCATGTCCTAGGTGTTATAAGGCTGCACTCTAACCAAGTAAGCTAACCAGCCAGCTCCCATTATCAGTTTTTAATAGGAGGAAAGTAAAGCTTATAGCTATGAAGTGACCAATACAAGATCAAAAGCTGTAAGTGACATGATCAGATCTTGAACCTATATCTTGAGACCTGACATCATATACTTTTCATATGTCCATATTTCCATAATAATTTGCATACTGGTTTTACTTTAACTTCATGTACATTGAGTTTATCAATAAATGAAAAGGGAAGTGCATTAAATCACAGTTATTACTCTGATTTGGGTTCATAAATAAGAACAAACTCAAATAAGGTTGGTTTTTCCTGACTTCCAGAGGGGGAAAAAAAAGAAAAAGTTGTTTTCATGACATTTATCATCATTGTAATCATCCTAAAAAACTTAATTTTTCCTCAAATGGATCAAAGGAATGAAAACTTATAAATCTAGATTCTACATATAAACTCAAAAGCTTAAACTATGTCCTTTAAAACATGAGATTCTTTTCAAGACTGTGATTCTAGCATAAGGATAGACATATAGGTCAATGGAATAGAACTGAAAGTCCAGTAATAAACCCATATGTTTATGGCCAATTGATCTTCAACAAGGATACCAAGACATTTAAATGGGGAAAGAACAGTGTTTTTAACAAATGGTGCTGGGAAAACTGGATAATACATGCAAAAGAATGAAATTGGACCTCTTTGACTCACACCATATAGAAAAATTAACTCAAATTACATGAATGATCTAAATGTAAGAGCTAAAACTATAAATCTCTTAGAAGAAAACATAGTTGTAAATATTCATGACTAGGTGATAGTTTCTTAGGTATGACACCCAAATCACAACCAGAGAAAAAATAGATAAATTGGACTTCATATAAATCAAAAACTTTGGTGCTTCAAAGGGCACTATCAAAGTGAAAAGACAGCCCACAGAATGGAAGAAAATGTTTGCAAATCATGTATCTAATAAGGGTATCGTATACAGAACACATAAAAAACTGTTACAACACAATAATAAAAAGACAACCCAATCTTAAAATGGGTAAAAGATTTGAATAGACATTCTCCAAATGAACAATAATAACCAATGGAAAGATATTTAACATCCTCAGTCATTAGGGAAATGCAAATCAAAACTGTAATAAGATATGACTTTACACCCATTAGGACGGCTATAATGAAAATGACAGACAATAACAAATGTTGATCAAGATGTGGAGAAATTGGAACTGCCATAGATTGCTGATAAAAATATAAAATGGTACAGGGCCGGCCCGTGGCTCACTCGGGAGAGTGCGGTGCTGATAACGCCAAGGCCATGGGTTCGGATCCTATATAGGGATGGCCGGTTTGCTCACTGGCTGAGCGTGGTGCGGACAACACCAAACCAAGGGTTGAGATCCCCTTACTGGTCATCTTTAAAAAAAAAAAAAATATATATATATATATACATACATACACACACACACACACACACACACACACACACACATATATAAAATGGTGCAACAGCTTTGGAAAACACCTTAGTAGTTCCTCCAAAAGTTAAACACAGAGTTACCATATGACCTAGCAATTTCACTCTTACATATATGTATATGTATACCCAAGAGAATTGAAAACATATTGTTCACACAAAAATTGTACACAAATGCAACATTATTCATAATAGCCAAAAAGTGAAACCAAGCCAAATATCCATCAACTAATGAATGGCTAAATAAAATGTGGTATATCTTCAATCCCTGTATTGGCCAACCACCAAGGGAAAAAAAAAAAGTGGTATATCTACACAATGAAATATTTATTATTTGGCCATAGAAAGAAATGATACATCCTACAACGTGGATGAACCTTGCAAACATACTAAATGAAAGAAGTCAGACACAAAAGATACCGTATTGTATCATCCCATTTATATGAGATATCCAGAACAGGCAAAATACATAGAGATAGAACATAGATTAGTGGTTGCCAGGAGGTGAGGGAAAGGAATAATGGGGAGTTACTGCTAATGGTATAGGGTTTCTTTCTGGGGTGATAAAAATATTCTGGAAATAGATAGTGGTAATGTTGCACAACCTTGTGAATACACTAAAAACCACAGAATTGTAAACATTAAAAGGGTATTTCATGGCATGTAAATTATACCTTAATAAAGATTTTCAAAAAATATATGAAGTTTTAAAATTTTCCTGCCATTACTATTGTAATATAAAGCCTTAACAAGGTCATTGTAGGAGCCAATAAACATAAATGGATTAGGAAGATATTTCAAGGGGGAAGTTAATAAGTTGAGGTGGCAAAATAATAGCATAACTGTGAGTAGATTGGGAAAGTAGGAATAAAAGTGAAACCTGATTTGGATCCCCATACCAGCCAGCCACCAAAAAATAAAAATGAAAGAAAAAGTGAAGCTGAGTACAATTCATGATTAATTAAACAGCCTTCAAAATCTAGAACAAGTTTAGGTGAAAGCAGAAGAAAAACTAATTCCTTATTTAATAATATTTTCATTATTTGATTATAACCCTAAGTCACACCTTAGAGACACTTTTACAGAACAGGAAGTTTATAAGAATAGCATTATTATGATCTCTCTCTATTTTTTTTTTTGCAACTCAAGGAGATAGAACCAGTTGCCCAGGTTAATAATGAATGCAAGAAATTCACTGGAGGCTAATTTTACCTGTCGGCTATTTTCCTGTTGAAAATATCAACTAAGTCAACTTAAAATTGACATAATAAAGCCATATTTGTATACCTCGGTCTAAACTGATCAAGAATTACTGTTAAGTGTAAAAGCCAATGTTTATTCTAGCTTGCATTAAAACAGTCTAAAAATTTGCTGCTTGGATGAGAATATTTCATTTTCTGACTACTCAGAAATTAGTTCTTTTTTTTTTTAAATTTTTTTTACTAATACAATTGAAATGAAGAAATTGAATTTTTAAGTAAAATTAAAAGTTTTCCTTGGCTGAAATCAAATACTAATAATTCCTATCCAAATATCCCAGTCACAATAAATAAATGAATAAGCGAATGAATGAGCTACTTAACCACAGTACTGTGGAGGACCAAGATCTTTCAATACAGCCATTCTATCACATTAAACATAAGATAGCAGACAATGATATCATCTCATTGGAGATTGGGGGGAAGGACAATTTGGAGGACAAAATGCAAATGTGCACCAGGATTTTCAGTTTATCAGCAAAGGTTGGCATCCTCATTAGCTCTGCCTTTGTGGAGCCAGTAATCATAAGGAATATTTGCATAATGCTTTCAGAAATTCATTTTACTTAACCAGTCCAACCCTATGAGAGTAAAGGCCGGGAATTATTACATTATCATTCGTTTTACATCTTAGGAAACAGAGACTCAGAATAGGGAAGTGACTTGCCTAAGGTCAACAGGCTGGTTAGTGGCAGAGCTGGGACTCAAAGATGGATCTTCTAGTACCAGACCTCATCTTTCCCTTCTCCAAGTAGACGACGTCAGAGGCAGGCTTAGGCATTGTACAGGAAGAAGAGGAAAGGAAGGCAACAGGAAAATAGAGAAGGGGACGATGACAGGAGGAGGTGTTTTATTAGGAAGTGAGTTCTACCGCTCTCAATTGCCCCAAATGCCCCGTAAGTGACAACAGTGCCACAAGCGACTCTGCCCCTGGGTCTACGGTTACTGTTATTTTATTAGTTGAGAATCATGTGGGAGAATTAAATGTCCAAAAGAAATCAAAAGATTTTTCCCCTCTGAGGTTCTGACAGCTGAACTTAGCCCCTCCCACAGAGGCTCGTGGCCCCTCTGTCTCGGTCACATTAAATGCCTTGGGAGCCGAAGAAACCGTGAGGTGTGGGGGAATGAAGAGCAGAGGGTTTGTGGTGGTGGCGAGGAGTGGGGGCTAAGGTCTGGCTAGGCAGAGGGGGAGCCTGCGGTGGAGCTGTGGTTGGGGGATGTGGGTTTTGCGGCTGAACTCGATGGTGGGGTAAGAAACCAGGATCGGAGCTGACAGGGTGGAGTTTACATGCCCAGGAAGGTTTGGGGACGCTGAGGGGCTGAGAGCCAGAGAAAGGCCGAGGAAGGTGCGAGGCTCCGGGGTCTCGGGGGCTCCAGGATGCCGGCAGGCCCCTCTCCAGCGTCTGTGATCGATGCTCCCTGGAGTCCCGCCTCCTCAGACCCCGCTCCCTCAAGCCCCGCCCACAGCACCGGGCGCGCGCCGGGGGAGCGGGGAGAGGGACCGAGCTGGAGACGGGGGAGGGGGAGAAGAGCGGCTCGTGCACGCGCCCCACTCGCTGCGGGTGCGCGAGCAGCGCGCTCCCGCCGTCCGCGTCGCCATCTTTTTCCCCCTCCGTCTGTCTGTCTACCGTTGGCTTTGTCCGGCCGCAGCACCGCCCCCCGGCTCCCCGCCGCCGGCTCGGCCCGCAGCCGCCCTCCGCCCGCGGGAGCCCATTCCCGGAGAGCCCCGGCCCGGCCGGCCCTCGCTGCGGCCCAGGGCCCATTGTCCGGCGGTCCGTCTGTCCGGAGGCGGGGCCCAGGGAGCCGGAGAGCCGCGGAGCGCTGAGGCGCCGGGGAAAAACAACCCCGAGTC